TCAATTGATAAATGCCATAGTGATGACGTCATATTATATATTGTTATTAATTTTTCATACAAAATTATGTTTTTTTAACTAGAATATAAGGGCTTCAGAGACAGTGGAAACATCTTAGTCTTCTCTATTTCACATCTTTAGGGCAGGGCTATTGTAATTAAACATGTTAATTGCACATTTTTCAATGACTCACTTTAGTCCCATAGACCTTTTCCTAATGGACATTTTGAGTTATTTTACTTTGGGTTTTAGGAATCTTAAGGTATTTAAAATTAGACACTGTGGGATATTTTAGGTTATTCTCTGAATTTTTCTCTTATTAATTCACATATTTTTCTTATTTCAACAATTATATATTATTTCAAAAAATACAAAATTCATGCTTTTATTTGCTTATTTTGTACACTTCTTTTAAATAATTCTACATTTTAAATATTATTACACACAAAATATCAAAGACATTCAAGTATCAAAAATGAGACATAGACCATTAAGCACTTGTATCACCAAAAATAAGGGGCTAAAATGGTAGGAAAAAAGTGTACAGCTAAATTAGTTTTCTAAAAATTGATGCTTTATGTGAGATAAAAGACCAACTTACACAACATCATTCACCTCTATTCTGGTGTCTGGAGATGGGTTAATTAGGATGTAGGAGAGAGTACTTTGATGATCATTCATTTCATCTAGAAAATAAATAAATGCCAAGTTAGTTATCCCACTTACAGAGGATTACTGGAATCACTGTAAAACAGCTTTAAGTTGAAACCATATAACTTTCAACAAGACCTGGCTATTTTTTTTTTTTTTTTTTTACACAGCATGGTTGTATGAATAAGTGGCTATTTTCATATTATTGTCACTGAAAATGTATGAAAGGTGTCTATGTTTTGCTCCAATAAGTAGCAAAAATAAACTATAACCACAGGAATATTCTGCCCTCTACGCTGACACACTGAAAAAGTATTTCTATTGAAGAAATGGCTGGAAAAAAAAAGAAATAGCTGGACAAGATCTTTACTTGATTTACGATGCCTTATTAATTACAACAAATAATTGTGGTTATAGACTGCTATGCAAGAAAAGAATATTCACACATGAAATCTTAAAAAATAATCAAATTACATTGTGTTTCAATGTAATTTGAATGCCTATATGATAGGCATGGGTCTGAAAAACTTGAAGACCTTACTTGGTTGATTTCACTACATGATAACGGCTGATTTAAGACACCCTAATGCTCTTGCAGAATGCAAAGAATCCTGGGAAACAGAACTTAACCAAAAGTTTTAAGGGAAGTGTAGCACTGAATCAATTGGTTTTCTTCTAAAACAATATATATTTGTAAAATAAATAGCATTGTCCTTTAAATTTTGTTAGTTCACTCTAAACACATCCTGAAGCTACAGATTGGGAAGATGAGGTGGCATTCATTATTCAGGGCACTGAAAAAAACAGCAAACAGCTTTGGCGTGTCCATTTTTTATATTACAAAGTTATCAGAAAAGTAAATAGAAAGCCATATGGATATATACTTTAATAAAGATAATTTCATCTAAGGATAAAGTTTTTAGCCTGTGAAAATCCTCTCAAAAATCCTATTCTAAAGCCATAACACTCCTTTAGCCATTTCACCTATAGACAAGAGTGAATTCTGAAGGAAGAACTACATTTTGTAGTTTCATACAAAATCTAAAAATAAATATCACGTCAACAGAGATAACAATTCTCAAGTAACTGTATTTTATTAAAATATTTTTAAGTCCAGCATAGTTTACCCTGGTAAACAGCTTAGGGCACTGGAATATGTATTATTTTCATAAAATAACATTGACTCACTATGTTCATCTGACTAGAAAATTGTCACTTTAGTGTGAATGAAAATGTTTTCAGCTATGGTATTTCTAGTTGACATTATTGCCTAAAAATGAAAATCCTAATCTTGCAATGCAAATAAATTGCAAGATAACTGAACTTGCCATGAGTTATTCAGTGAAACTATTATATTCAGAAGCTCATTAAATTCATATCCAAATAAAGGAATATGTCCAGTTACACGTCTCAAGGATAAGACAGAAGGAATTATATTGTGCCATAGAATTAGTTTCCAGAAAGAAATAGAGAATATTTTGTGAAATTTGAATTTTAGAGAAAAAATTAATGATTTTTGGCATAAAGTTATTACAGGTGACATACTAAAAATTATTTGTTGTTTTTCTGAAATTTAGATTCCATTAGGAATTCTGTGCTTTTGTTTGAAAAATCTGGCAATCATACATTGGGATAGATGGCTAAATCAACTGGTTGGGGCTTGGAATTCCAATGAGTACAAAATGATGCTGATTCCAAATAAGGTATGACTCCAACTCAAAACATTTTCACTGGCAGGAGATTACCAGGATCATATATCTATATAAAAAACAAATTTGATTCATGTGTGCTTTTTGAGAAATTTTCCCCAAGTATGAATTTCTATAACTGCTGTGCAAAGAAACAGATAGTGGTAAGGCATTGTGTACTGTAGACTAAATCATCATACTCTGAAATGTAATAAATCTACTTGAAAATCTTTATCTCATTGGGCTATCCATAACTCTAATTTTTGTATACACAATGACATTAAGAAATGTGATATAGGAAAATCATTCAACGGATAACTTCACAGTCAATATTTATACTCAAACTCTCTCCTTGATTATTAAAAGAATACTTTACTCAGTTTTTGTTCTAGCATCAAGTCAAATCTATTGGTGATAAGTTTACCTGTTAAATAATGTAAAAATTGTCTTAATAATTAAAACGTTTCCAACAATGGCTATAAGTATTGTTTCAATATTTTGTTCTGCTTTAGTGATCTATTTTATTTAATATACTAAAGATTTTAATTTTTCCATGGATTGCAAGCATTGGAGCAAACATTTTAGTAATGCGTTCAGTTCAATGATTCCATATGATTTATAGCAACAAATGAATAACATCCCAATCAGAACTAATCACTCCTGATTTCTTTCCTCACCTCTTATTGACATTTCCTTAGAGAGGAGGAATGGCTTATATTTTTGATTTAGGTTAAAAGACGTTGCTGAGCTCGGAGTTTCTCTCTCTCTCTGTCTCTCTCATGAATGCCTCAAAATAGGGTTAATTTGGGGCTGCTTATTCTGTCATCCTTCTTTGTTGAAAAGGCCTGAACTGCCTTTCTTTCCTTGTGACTTTAAGAATTAAGGCGTGAGATTTTCAAAAAGCCTAATGTCATTACATATCAAAACTACAATCAACAGTAGTTTTTATAACCAAAAGTCTGGTATTTTTGTCTCCACCAATCATTATCTATAGTTATTTTAAATTTTTTTTCTTAATTTGAAAGGAATAGTGTAGTAAGTTTGTTGGAT